CCTCCCTCGGCTTTTATTACCGGTAATCATTTATTTAAGCTCAGTTTTTAAAACCTTATGATGTAACTACAGCCCAGGTAATGCAGCAGTATATGAATGACTAACCTCGTATTGTGGATGGATTATCTCAGTTGTTCTCCTGGCTGAAGTTTGGTCCTTTTACAGCATCCTGCCATGCGATTACATTTGTTCCTGACCACCGAGAACACTCACGATAACTTTTATCGAGTGGAAAAAAAGTTAGCTTGTTTATTGTATATATTGTGCTAACATAGCTGTGTCGCTAGCGGTCACGTAGCACATCATTATATACCAGCTAGCCCAACTTCAGTAACCCTACAAATGTCACTGCTGTTTAGTTTTCTGTCTTCATTTATGCTGGAAGTGATAACAGAGCTGTACGTTTTAATTTGTTTCCAAAACTCCGCAGTCAGGACATGCTATATTGTATTTAGATAGAAGCTAGCGAGCTAACTCCCTGCTAACTTCTAACTCCGTTAAATGTCATAAATTCAGTTTTCATGGATGCCTGGATATTAAACTGAATTGTTACACCTGGTAGAGCAGAACGCTGATCATTTTATTAAAGATGAAAGACTTTAGACAGTTTTTCAACTCTCAGTAATGCCATAGTGATCGTTTGATATATGGACCTGCAGTGGAGTTTAGGTCCAGACACGGCTAGTGACGTCAGACTGAACAACCGGATTAGAGGAGATGAGGTGCTAGCTACAGCTACATCTGACCGTCACAGTTTAGTAACACTAAATTCCCATAAACCAAATACAGCCTGTTGAGATGTGATTGGCCAATACTTGGACTATAGACAGACTACAAACATAAACCAGAAAGCTTTGAGTACAAAAACACTGAATGCATAAAATCACATGGTGCACAAAATAAGTTATTACTGCTTAAAAAACTGCTACAGATCCTTATTGTGTTTGCAGGGGTCAAGATTTTAAATTGCTTTAAAATTGTCATTTTTGTTATGTTCATGTGTTTGTTCCAGGGAATTATACTCTGAGAATCAACTTGGAAGATTTCGATGGTAACCAGCGCTACGCTGAGTACAAGAACTTCAGAGTCACGGATGAAAAGGTAACGATGCTAGGCGACCGCTAAACTAATAGATAGTAGACTTGACAGTCATTTAATGTGTTTGATTGTTGCTGGGGAAAATAATCTTGAATCTCATGCATGTCTCTGATATATCTTATATCTGGTTTTCTTCTCTCTATGAGATTGTACCATTTTTAAAGGATCGATGCTAATTGAAAGATACTGAACAGAAATATGAAGCTACAGTCAGCTGCTGGTTAGCTTATCATAGCATAAAGACTAAAATTTGGGAATTGTAACATAAGAGGGTTAAGTTTTCTCATTCTGAGTCGGTCTAATTGAATTTTATCCATCCATCAATTGAAGTCCCACTCCCCCAAAACAAGTTCAAGTTCTTCCTGGTGGGTCCCCAGATATTCGAAGACCAGATGAAATTTATGTAATCTCTCCAGTAGGTTCTGGATCTTCCCCAGGGTTTCCCATCAGTTGGGTAACTTGTATCATACGTCAGCTGTTATTTTAAACTTATAGCAGCTGACAATCTCTTATTGTATCCTTCTTTTTAGGATCACTATCGCCTTAGCTTTGGAGTCTATGTAGGTACAGCTGGAGATGCTCTTTCTGGAACCTATCAGGTTGGGGTTTCAGACTGGGCCAGCCACCAAGGCATTAAATTTAGCACCTATGACCAGGACAACGATAACTACAAGGGAAACTGTGCCGAAGAAGACAAAGGAGGCTGGTGGTTCAACAAGTATGGGGTTTGCCCATTCATCAAAAGATTTGCAAAGATGGAAAAGTATTTATCAGTCATCCATTATCATAAAAAATAACAAAAGGATATTTGTTTTTTCACACTCCTCAGGTGTCACTCAGCCCATCTCAATGGCAGATACTATCCCAGTGGGTACTACAACTCTGTAACAGATGATGGTGTAGTTTGGTACACTTGGAGAGGATGGTGGTACTCTCTGAAAACCAGCATCATGAAGCTGAGACCCACTGCCTTCGAAATTGATCCCATTGATGACCCCAATGTGGTTCATCGCAGCCGAAGAAGATCTCAAATCAATTGTGGGTAGAAACTAATTAGAAAACAGTACTTTTACAGTAATACTGTAAACATTTTTTCCTGTGTTATTGGACTATATCTTAATGGTAAATGGCAAGTAGAGAAGTAAAAAGTGGATTAACTCGAATTCATTATTTTTCCTATACCGGTATTGGGAATATAAAAATAAACAACCCTTCTTAGCTTATCTTAGTAGGAGATGCTTATGAAATGCTGTTTTATAGCTCCATGTTACAAGAGGAAGTAGAATGCACACACAGCTGTCTGTTTTGGTGGAGAAAAGGGGAATCTGATGTCAGTGTGTGTGCCAGACACAGGCGCAAACATTGAAGTGAAAGGAGCCATTATCATGTCACTGAAAATAGTTGTAAGAGGAGTTGATGTTGTCATAGATAGACAACATAGAACTGAAGCCAATGCTATTTCTTTGGCACACACAAACAGTCTGCCCCAGTGCAGCTGTGGCTACAACTGTAGCTGCCTCCACCAGTGTGTGAATGTGAGAGTGAATGAATAGTGGAATTGTACAGCGCTTTGAGGGCCCCGAAAAGCGCTATATAAATGCAATCCATTATTATTATTATTATTATTATAAATAGAGGCTTAAAAATACTATGCATGGACTGTTATCCACTTACAGGCTGCGGACACACCGTCAACTCCATATTCCTCTTATTTGAATTATAACCATGATTCCAGAAATAAAACATGCAAGTCCTCCCTGTTATTTCATAATGCTGAATTAACTAGTTGTGTTGTTCTAATGCTGTTGTATTTGTTTCTATTCTTTTATTAAAAACGTTAAATATCAAATTTCTTGTGACACCTTTATTTGAATTCTGACATTTTGTGAGCACATTTTGCTACTCCACATGCCAAATCACTATCAACCAAAGGTGGAATTTAACCTTATCCACAACTTTTTGCACTCTTTATTCTGTACCGTTTATGGCTTACTAAAATAAAATAATAGACTCCCACATGACTTTGTACAGGACTGCTTGCCTACATATTGTGACGAGTAAATGTATGAATCGATGTATGTTAATGTTTAATTTTTCGTCTAGGTCAGGTTGGACTGAACGCCATCGACCAAACAGCAAGGCTTATATGTAATCTGAAGAAGGATACTGACAATAAAAGAAAACCACCCAGTTTACTTGACTGACAATGAATCCATGAACTGACAACTGTGTATTATCACTGGATCGCTGGATTTTTCAAAGGAGGATGGCTTATTTTATTTTTATAAAGCCTTTTGGAGTTAATAATGGCCTAACTACAAATTTATGCCAATCATTACTAGTGCGTCAATTATGAGAAAATGCAAGCCTGTGATTATCATTACAGAAAGTAGGGATGAGGGCAACAGGAAATCGGAATGCAAAATAAATATGTGTGAAATCTAAATTATCATTGTGTAAATACACAGTATCGCCTTTGTTTAAGCCAGTATCTGTAAAATTAAAAAAATCTACGCAATCATAAGCCAACTATTATCCTCTATCTGGCGGTGTGCTTAATTAGCATAACCAACTTGCCCGATGGGCGGTGCTTTCCCTGCTACAGATAGGTTCAAGCGAAAGCCCCGTCCAATCACACCATCTCCAGAGTTAAAACAGACGCGCCGTCGGTGGTTAATGCCGGCGCTGATTGGCTAACACCCTTTCACGTTTAGAGAGATTGTCAGTCAGCTGGAGCTCAAGTAAAACAACACAGTACTTGTTTTTTTTTTTTTTTATCTTTCAGGGGCTTTTGAACTGGAGACATTTTTTCTCGCTGCGTTTATGGCACCTTTAATACATTACTAAACGGCCCGTGGAACATTCTTTTACGGAGAGAAAAGCGGGAATGTAGCGTTGTTATCGTCCACCCCAATTTTTAACGATAGGTGAGTAAGCTAACGTTAGCTGAAGTTAAATTGCTTAATTAGCACGCGAGCTAGTTAGCCGCCTGTTGCAGTTAGCTTGGCAGCCAAAGAACACAGAAGTTCGAGGTTGCTCGACTCTTCCTTGTATTTTATAATTTTTTTCTTCCTCGTTTTGAAGCAGGTAACGGCAACTTATGCTGGCTTTCTAGCGTAGCTTCTTGCTAGCTTAGATTGTAAACGACAGTCGGTGAGCTACCCTTCCACCGAAAGTGTCTCCAAGGTGACGGTGGTTGTTTCTCCATCCATTTACTCTCTGCTCTCTCCCTGTCTCTGCTTTCTGATAGCTCCTGACGCCTTTCCCAGGAGAAGCCCGGTGCCCTCTTTTGTTGTCTGGAGCGCCGTGTTGTGGCTGAGAAAGCTCTCGGGGGTCCGTGATTGTTGCTGCCAGGCGGGCCGACGCTAGGAGCGTGGGGGAACATAGCGGCGTGTGTCTGGTGAGGAGATGTCAGAGCGGGGATGCCTCTTTTTGGAGACAGTTTTGTAGGCGAGGGTATACACGAGTGTACACAGTATACCTCTCGCTGGGACTTGGCGTGCAAACCAGCGGAGCGAGGTTTCAGTATAACTAGCAGTGACACATATATGGATGGTGGGGTCGCAGTATGCCCACCCCCTCGAGTACCACTACATCACCGGCTGGAGGGAGAAGCAATACCGGGGGAGAGGAAGAGGGGCCCATGTCCGCAGCTTCTACCTCCTCAATCGGCTCATCTTTCCGGTTCGTCCCAGCTTTCTGCCTGGGCGTGGTGGCAGCAGTAGTATTTCAGCTGGCATGGGGAGGCCTGTCTCTCACCTCGTTCTTCTTAAAGCTCTTCATCTATGTGTCATTCGCCCTCCTGTGTTTCCTGGCTGGGAGCTTTGCCCTGCTGGTCAGGAAGAGTCCTCTCAAAGTCAGCTGCTTTAACCGGAGCAGGAGGCAGCCTTCTGAATGGCTGGAGTTCTTCAACAAACTCATGGTAAGAAGACCCCTTAAATTCATTAAGGGACATGCAGCACACCTCCAGGAACACGCAAACTGTAGCTCTGTGCGACATCTCATTAGGATCACACTGTGTCTCATCAGAAAACATTGTTTACTGCTGACATGCAGACTTATATCTAAGGGCTTTTTGCACACTCTGCGTTATTGACAAACTAGATCTGTTGAGCATCTGATGTTTTACATTTTGCCTCCTGATTTGGCCTTCTCAACCATTCCACCCCCTTGTTTCCTGCCCCAATTAGTTTCCTTCCACCTCAGCATTTGTACCCACTCTGTCTCTCTGATGATGTCTCCCGACGCTTTTATCCTTGCTGTGTTCTATAATAGAAGAGGTACAGTCATTCTTCTGGATTTAGCCTGATTCGCAACACTGAGCACATGCATACACACAACAAATGGTAATTTATTCTTTAAGGAAAGCCTTTGGGTGTTTGCAGCCGGTTGGTGGCATCCCTCAGCCCAGCGGCTGCCTTTCATCTGTGATGTTTGATGTTCTGTGGCGCTTATGACTTATTGATGTTGACAGTGGATGAGTATTGTCACAAACATTAGTCTGAGTGACATGTTGCACGAGCTGTGACTAATTTAGGCTGCTTCATTTGTCATGATTTTAGGCCTTCTGGACACACAGTTCTAAGTCCTAGCTCTCTTCTCTCCTTGTATTTCCTGTTTTTATGTTGTTCCTTAACTGGAATTGCCTGTTTGGCTACTTTTCAGGTTCGTTTTTTGGTGCCAGTTCAGGAGTCAAGCCAGAGCAGGAGGGTGGTGGTGTCGCACAATGTGGACAAAACCCTGAAGGAAGGTAATTAGTCACCTGTTTTATGGCACATTTATGTGAATGCATGAGGAGCTATTGATGTGTGAGGAGATTTTGATATGCTAGCAGATGATGTTAAAAAGAACTTAAAAACCCCCCAATTGCTTCTTCTGTTTCTGCCATTTTTGTGGCATCCTGTCTTTATAGAGTAAAATGTGTGAGCGAATCAAGATTCTGAAATTGGATCATATGACAGTCAGACGTCTGAGATCACTTGAGAGTCAAGTGTGGTCATTTTTTGAAAGGCTTTAAATTGGCGATTGCAGAAGAGTGAGATTTTCATTGATTATTCATGCTACTTTTTTGAAGGACTTCAGAAGCAAAAAAAACAAAACAAAAAAAAACTTCAGAAGCAAACATGAATGTGTCTTCCTCTAAATTTCAGTTTCAGTTATTTCAGTGTTTGAATTCCACGTATAAAAAGTTCAAAATTCCATAAAAAGACTTTTCCTTTAGCATTTATGCTCTTTTCAAGCTCTGCATTTTTTTTGTTTTGTTTTGTTTGTGGACTCTACCGTAGTAGCTTATCTTACATTGGGCCTCGGTCTAGCCTCTCAGTTCATAACACTGTCTGAAACAAAATGTTTCAGCTCCCTTTCCTGTCCATTAATGCTCCTGATTGGCTGCCACTCTCAAACAAAATACATGAACAGCAGCTGTGGTCTTAACTTTGAGATGACTGTAATAAGGACATCCATTCTCACTGGTGTTATTCAGAGTTGAGAGCTGGGAAAACGTAAAATTTTTAAAATGTAGTACTTTACAGCATCAACACTGCCTTCTCTCCAGTCATCGAATTAGACATATTTTGGTGGCATTACAATACATTGTATAATACTGCACTTCGACAGTGGTGATTCAAAAGGATAGTCATGTTGATTCTTATTGTGGCTGGCTCTGTTTTGGAAAAAAAAACTTTGCTTTTTTTCATATTGAAAACTTGAAGCTTACACAGCATTAAAATCTGTTTTTCACTCTCAGTAGTATTAGGAGACCTTTCCTGAAATGACTGACTGATGGAAAAAGTTTCAACTTCTGTTTTTGACAAAATTGCTGACTGACGGAGCTCTGCTTCTGTCATTCACCACGACCTGTCACCCATCTCTCCCACACATTAAACCAGTAGAAGGTTAAAGACACGTACACACTGGGAGCCGCAAACAGACACTCGCACACCCATGCACGCTCAGTAGATCAGTGCATGTGCCTGCCAAGTAACAGATGGCTCCAGGATTTACACTGAGGGTGTGTGTTTGCACATCCTTCTGTGTGTTTTTAAAAAATGGTCCTTTGATTGCAGTGTGATACAAGTTTATGACATTATTAGCTTTATAATCAAGACGGGCTGTGTCAGTGAACTGATGCCTTGATATACCTTGATGTGTTTTGTGGGATTCTTTAGAGTGATGCATTTAAAGCAAGCAGAATACTTGCATTCTAGTTAGAACCTTTCCAGAGGAGCTTACTGTGAGTGCTCAACACAAAATACCTTCTGAACTGTCTCATTTATTTTATTCATTTTTTTTTAAAAAGATGAAGAAGTAGTATGAGAGCATAATGTTGTTTGAAGTGGAAACTGAGAAATGGAGCAAATCCAATTGTGCAAGATTGGTCTTTATCTGTTATTAGAGTGCTAACCTCTCTAACCATTCATCCCCCCTCTTCATCTGTTTCTAAAGCACTGATCCTGGTCAGTTCCAGTGTCTAAAGGCACACATAGAGGTTGTATGGTCGCTTAACTTGCATGTCTCTGGTTAAAGGGAAAAATCCCAAGAAGGTGACAAAGTATGTGCTTTACAGTCATTCCTTACAAGAGTGAATGCTGGTCATGTCCGTTGTGAGTATTAGGGTGCTTCTCCTCCTGTTCTGCAACATACAGTACATGTTGATAATGTGCTGTATATAATCTACAGAGGGTTAGCTTGGATCACTGCATACACTTCAAAGACAGAGAGATTCTGCATTTAGTTAAAAGATCACAACAGAACAATTGGGTTGGTTCACACATTAAAACTGAATTTCACAGAGAAGGGGAAGTGCCACACTGTACTTCAAAGCATAACTCGATCAGTATGCAGTTATTCAAGTGATAATATTAATTTAATTTTTACAGTTGAATTCATTATTTTATGTATATGTTGTACTGTTTAGAATACTGGACGAGCTGCTCATATTTGGATTGCATCTGATTTTCTTTTTTTTTTTTTTCTTTTTTTTTTCCCCCTGTGATTTTGCTCTTTGTGCAGTTTGTAAGTTAAAGATTTGACCAGTAAAATCAGTTTTTCAGCAGCTAGTTAAAGCAGAGCGCTCACTGTTAAGCTATGATGTTCCCAGGGTTAAAATTAACCTTCCAGTTGCAGCCGTCTGTGTGGAGTCTGGGTGTGTTATTTATATATTTCTGTCAGTTTTTTTCCAGGTGCTGTAGTAGGTGTCTCCTCCTATATTCTTCCTGTAGTTACATCATTTGAAAGTGAGTGTGAGGGATTGCCAGTGTTTTGTTCGTTTGTTTGTTTGTTTTTGTGCATCTAATGGTCAGCTCTGTGATGAGGTGGTGAGCTGTCCAGTTTCCAGTTACAGCTTTCCCCTCACAGAATGAATGCTGGGATAAGCTCTCGGGGGGGAGGGCTGGGGACCGTTTACAGAAAAGCGGGCACAGAAAGTAGATGATGGAAAGCGTGAACCACCCTCCAGCTTTCATAAGCTGCACCTGGGCTTTGGGGAAATGAAACTCGATGCACCCGTTGTGGTCTTCAGTGGCTCATTGAAAACAGAGTTTATACAGGGTTTGTGTTTTGTTTTGTTTTTTTTGTGCATCAAAAGTTTGAAATGTAAAAAAGCCATTTGGTGTTACTGTCAGAAGAGTACTGACTGCAGCTGTTTGTCTATTCTAACAAAAACTGGATTTAGATTTTCTTTTGCTGTCTCCGCAGTGTTTGACTATGCCTACAGAGACTATATCCTGTCCTGGTACATTCCTTTGAGTCATGATGAAGGCCAGTTGTACTCCATGCTGTCAGAGGACTGGTGGCAGATGATCGGGCAGTTGAGATCCAGGCTTGCTGAGATCGACCTCGTCAACGTAGTGTGTTATGACAGCATCCGGATTCTACACACACACTTCACCGACCTCAAAGCTGCATCTGCAAGGTGCACTAACACACACTCTTTAATTGTATGAAGTTCTCCCACAATATTCATCACCTGCAAATCAAGGATGGGAAAGCTAGTGAAATAATGTGTTGTTACTGTCAGAGTCACTGAGCCTCTAACAGCTTTCTTTGCACAGGTATGACTCACAGTTGTTTATCAGGAAATATGTTCCATCTTTGATTTGTTACTGAAAAAGATTTCTCTTCCCACCAGTGTCCATACCTAGTACCATAATTTTATGTACACAGATGGTGTGAAATTACTGCAATTTGGTCCAGCGTAACCGCATTAAAATCCCCCTTCAGTGTGTGCCAGGTACACTATCACACATGTGCGTGCAGGAAAAAGAACAGACAGAGCGATGATTCACACATCATCTGGTTTTATTATCTTGGCCAGTCAGACGAGACTTATGATTTGATTGCACTGCTGTGATGTCTGGTCTGCCTAATTTCCAATTGCTTGGGAACAATGTAGCAGCAGCAGCATGTCTTTAGAAGCAAAAACAGCGAGCTACAACACAGCTGAAGTATGAATAACAGAGGGAGCGAAGCTTTAGCTCACGTAATATAATCGGACATCTAAGGTGTGTGTGTGTCTGTGTGTCTCCCCAGACCAGAGGAAGTGGCTCGGCCGTTTCCTCTCCATCCCTGTTTGGTCAGTCCAGAATCGGAGCTGGCCTTCCTCCGCTGTGTAGCCAGAATACTACTGCTATGTCTGCTGCCACAAAAGGATGCCAAGTCGCACACACTACGCTGCTGTCTCACTGAAGTCATCACTAATAAAGGTACATAACTTCCTTGGGGATTAATAAAGAATTCTGATTCTAATTGGTCATTGTCACATACATGCATTATTGTTGTCAAAGAATAATATGTTCTGTTTTAATGTACCTTTTATAAGTCATTGCTTTTTTTTGTCTTATGGACAAGTAGCAGTCGTTGAATGTTTATATCTTTATTTTGGCTCTACTCCAAGTCATTAAACACAAGAGTAGTTGAATCAGCTCCACAGTGCAGACACGGTGATGAAATGTGCACCATCCTCTTGGTGGACTCCGTTTGTCAGTGTCACACTCCCATAATTGGGGAATTAAACATACGCTGTGAATGAATTTCATTTAAATAGAATGAAACTTTACTCAACACATTAGGACACAATTCATGATAAGCACAGTTGTAATTAAAAACACAAATGGTGTCTCCTTTCCTCTAGTTGTTTAATAGTTGCACCTGCTCAGTGAAAGAGATGTAACACTGAGGTGTTGTTGACATAGATGCATAACACTCGCAGCTCTTCAGGTGTGTTTGATAAACAAAGAATAAATATACAATATTCTGCTGAATAGTTTTACCATTTAATATACAATACTATGTAGAACTCTTGAGTTCTTTAATTTCTTTTGATTTTGCTAGGAAAATAAGAAACGGGTGCAGTGATTTATTGAATCATAGCCAAGCATACATGTCAATACAATAATATAAGGCAAAAACAGAGTCTGTACAATTCTCACTAGCTTTAAAGTCAATATTTGTATGACCACCTTTATTCTTCAGCACAGTCTGGTATAGTTCATTTCAGGTCTTCTTTGGGTGTTGGCTGTCTTTTGTTTGTTTCTGTGTCGATGAACTCACACTGCCTCAGTAATGTTGAGGTCTGCGCGCTGGGAGGCCAGTGTGTGTGTTCCAGTGTGTTCCCCTTTTTTTTTTTTTTTTAAATGTATTTATTTTTTTTAAATATCCACACATGCTTTTACTGCATTGGTAAAATGCAGTAATCATCACTCCATTATCACTTACTCCTGCCACTGATTCCCCCCCCTTTTATTTATTTATTTTTTATTTATTTATTTATTTTTGGACATATCTCCACCTTTTCTCCCTGTTCCCATTCCTTAAGAATGACTTCTTTACAATCAGCCTTCCGAGACCATTTCTGGTGACGTTTGAACAAACAGTATTTAGATCAGCTGCAGGGTCAGACGGATTTCTCAGGTCCTGTGTCACGTCTTTGTTGGTTTTTGCCTATTACATGACTTTCACTTACTCTCCATCTGCTGTAGATTGCTTTTTATGCCTGTCACTTCTTCTTTTGTCCTCTACTTTGCCAGTTTCCTCATTTTCTTTTACCCTTTTTTTTTTTTAAACCATGTAGATGTAAACTTTGTCAAGATATGACAAGATCACCTTGTTGGTGCATTTTCTGCCTGTCAAAGTGTCCTGCCGTTGGGATTTTTACTAGATTTGAATAAAGAAATTGGAACAAATATTATTGTGACAGGCTTTTAGCAACAAAGCGCCTAAAAATACAATATAAACGGTCTCTTTGCTAAGTTTCCTGGTATGTTTGGAGACAGCATTGCTTCTTTTCTTGAATTAGATGCTTGCTTTTTTTTTTTTTTTTTTTTTTTTTTTTTTTTTTTTTTTTTTTTTTTTTTTTTTTTGAATGATTTGAATGAATGACTCATAGGTCAATGTGGCTCAACAAACAAAAACATTCCTCTGCACAAAGACTAGACTCATATTCCTTCCAGTCTTTGTACCTTGAATAAAGACCAAGGGATGAGGGGAGTAACACTAGTGAAAATAATAATTTTCTTACAAAGGATTCAACTCAGAGAGATTATTAAATAGCCAAAGGAAAAGGCTTTGCTGCTCACTAGTAGCTCCACCTTTAATTTCAGTCCAAACTCAGGCAAAGCACTTCACTACAGCTCATCACTCTCAGGCTGGCACACACTGAGTCCGAGCAACTCCACACCAGATCTTTTTATAGTGTTGGATGATGATTGGTGAGCAGAGCATGCTCCACACTGGTGGCTCCTCACAGGAAAATGTGTGGCAGCTGCAGGCAGGGGAGAAGGAAAGCAGAACACACCCACTAACACAACCTGTTAGGGTTGTAACAAAATATAACAAATGACGAGTGGCCCAGTCTTTGGACATTACTGCATGTTATAAATAATTTAATTGTCATCTAATTATTGAGCATTGCAAAATGTACTCTTAGCTGTTGTAACAGCACTGACTCATAAGGGAAGTGTGGCAGTGAAGCAAGGAGAGGAAAAAAGAATGCAGGAAGATACAGAACACTTTTTCTTCTTCTCCTGCATTGCAGCAGAGCGCCACACTGTTACTGCTGCACTTGGCTCTTGTTTCCAGAGTACATGTTGGTTTACATGGTGTGAAATGAAACAAATGTTCAATTTTGCTGGCCCGACACACGAATCAATGGACTTTTGTTATTTATCTGTAATGTTTTGCTGCATGTTTAAGCTGTTCTGGAAAATTTACCTGCTGGAAAACCAGAAAACTTCAAAAAAAGTTGGAATTCAACTGAGAAAAACTGGAATCTTACAAACTCTGTGGTCATCCTTTCCTCTTGAGCAGGTGTGTTGTCAGTGTTGTTTTGAATGCAGCTGTTGTTGTGTTCCTACTGTCAGAAGGAACGATGAAACGATAGTCTTAAGAAAATGTGTGATATCTTGATGTCTAGCTGCTGCTCTGTTTCTAGAACTGCATTCCTCAATTTCCCACACCTAGGATTTTTTTTTTTTAAGATCAGTGTCTCATTTTATTATGCGTCACAGAAATCTGTGGTTCTAACTTCATCAAGAGCATTTGTCCGTCCTTTTTACATCGTGTGTGTGTGTGTGTGTGTGTGTGTGTGTGTGTGTGTGTTTTCTCCAGTCCTGAAGCCGTTGGTAGAGGTACTCAGCGATCCAGATTCCATAAACAGGATGTTGTTGTCTCAGCTGGAAAAGAGGGAGCAGCAGGCTGAGCAGCAGAAGAAAGCCTACACCTACGCTGCCTCCTATGAAGACTTTATCAAACTGATATCAACTTCTACTGATGTCAATTTCCTCAAGCAACTCAGGCATGACAGTGACAACGTGCACACACACACACACACAGTAGATGCCTACATTACCTCATTTAAGTAGACTATCCTGTACCTACATTGAGTCAAATTAAACAAACCACGTGTGTCCTTATATACATAATGACAAACATGTTAACCAGGCAGTCTTAGCCACCAACATGTTTGCTGCTCAGGGGTTACCATGGGAACAGACAATGTCTCTGCAGCAATATACTTGATCTAAATGCGGGGTAGACATGATACTGCTATATTGTCTCGTTAGTTTGAGAAATGGTGGCTCAGTACTGGCTTCTTTTTGAAATGTTTCTTCTTTTTGTTTGTTTTGATTTATTTTGGCCTCGTCACTTTCCATGCTATATTTCCATCTTTCTGTGACGTAATTCATCTAATAATTGTATTTGTCTCCCGTCTTTCCTCCTTTGTAGGTATCAGATCGTGGTAGAGATTATTCATGCCACCACCATCAGCAGCCTGCCTCAGCTCAAGAAGCAGAAAGGTACAGACAACACTACAGTTTCCTGCATTTAAAACCTCAAAAGTATGGCAGCGTTTCAGTTCACGTTCACTGCCCCTAAAAAGCTAGCCAGGTATGCAATATAGGCATTCATTCATAGAAGTAAACAATAAGAGTACAGTCACAATTCTGCTTGTTTTGCAACAATTTGAAGAGAAGTGATGTGAACATTTATCTGTCAGACACTTGCAATATGCCTGAGTTCAGCCTCGTGTCAAAGACTTTTAAGGACCAGGAAGTGACAATGAAAGCGAAGTTTCAGGACAGCTGTGTGAGCGTGGTTATAATGACATTACCAGAGTGACTTTAGTCGTAAATGTATTACAGCAAAGGCTGATTCCCATCCGTTTCAAACTGTTACATACAATACTTACCTTCAGACCCAACCACTGATTCCCATCATTAGTGTTGCAGGTGGTTGGGTCTGAAGGTAAGTATTCTATGTAAAAGTTTGAAACGGATGGACACACAGCACCAGCTGATACAGATTTACAAACAAAACAAGGGAATGAGTGGATTCGAACTGCCCTGCAGTGCAGAGCCTAATTTTTATTCTCATTGATTGAGGGAGGGGGGGGAAATGGTCCATAAACTGTCTCCATGTGCACTTTTAAACACTACTGTCTATACTGTGTGATCCTGCTGGACTACACAGTATAGACCAGCACTTTTTCAATTTGCTTTTGGGGATTTTGGAGACCCAGTACTGGTTTCTGTTTGCACAGGCTGTTTGCTGTTGAAACACACAGTCCCTGTTCAGCAGTGAATGAATTCATGAGTACATTTAAAGGCCAGTCGGCTGTAGAAACTGCAAGTGCATTCACATGCTGTATCTGAAAATCAATGACCAATAAAGTTCACTTGCTGGTGTGCTTAGCTTGAAGCACATTTTCATAGAATCAGGCCATCGGTATGTATCAGCTTTATCCCGATAGTTCAGTGGCTCCACACCAGGTGATTGTGCGCCTTTGTGTTATTATGTGGCCAGAACTTGCTCAGACAGGCTTTCCCTCTCCCTTAGAGAAAAAAGGTAAAGAGTCAGCAGCCATGAAGGCCGACCTGCTGAGAGCCAGAGATATGAAAAGATATATCAATCAGCTGACTGTTGCTAAGAAACAATGTGAAAAAAGGATCCGCCTCCTTGGAGGGCCAAACTATGAGAATAGTGAGGAAGGAGGGGCCGATGACAACGACGAGCCTCAAAGCCAGAAGGTAAATAATGTCATGTAACTCAGCGGTCCCCAACCTTTTTTGCGCCACGGACCGGTTTATGCCCGACAATATTTTCATGGACCGGCCTTTAAGGTGTCGTGGATAAATACTAGAGATGGACCGATCCGATATTACGTATCGGTATCGGTCCGATACGGACCTAAATTACTGGATCGGATATCGGAGAAAAATTAAAAAAATGTAATCCGATCCATTAAATATCACGAAAGCACCTCACAAAACTTGCAACACGCCATAACTCGCCTCAGAACGTTAGCACGTCGGAGCAGTATGCATCACGTGATAGAGCGGCTGTGGCATGCGGGACCTGTGGTGGTCTGGATAGCATTTGGAGCTTCGCTAGCAACCCGGCATTTCATCTCCGACAAAGTTATCCCCGAGAGAAGTAAAGCAAGTGTGTAAGTCCATCTCTGAATGTTTGTAAAGCATTCCTGCGTTAAGCTTAACAAGCGACTGCCTCTTCTTGCTGCTACTTCAATCATGAAACTGCTTAATGATCAGCTGATTGGCTTTTCTGTCGCGACTCCGTCTCTCTTCTTTGTTTTTGGCCCACTTTGCACCAGAAAGAGGAAACCAGCGGCTGAACAACAGCAGCACGTTTAAGCTTGATCAGCTGTTGTTAGAATTTATTTAATATTACTTTCTACTCGAGGATCTTTTTCTACGTAGCTGACGACTGGTAACTGCAGGGGCGGATCTAGCAAAGTTTAGCCAGGGGGGCCGATAGGGCATTAACAGGGAAAAGGGGGCACAAAGACATATTTTTCTTTCTTATTCTCATTTAAAATGTCTGGCTGTTATTAAATAATTATCTGACACCCAAAGTTTTAATCTGATGTAAAATGTATAGAAGTCCATTACTGTATATAGTACCGTAACTGTTAAGTCTAATATACCCTAGTAAGCTATAGTACTTTTTCCTTTGGGAAGGTACCATCTGTGCAGTCTGCAATTTTGTTGAAGACAGATGTTGAATCTATTTAATATTTCTTGAAAAATAATTGATTTCTGTGCATTTTTTTTCCACACTGCATCAAATTAAGGTTGATTACGTCGATTAAGCATCATGAGGTGGAGCGTGAGGGGTGGTTCCCTATTTTTTATTTTTTATTTTATTTTTGTTGTTGCTGGGAGTTGGAACCCTATTAGTTAGGTTGCTTAATATTTACGCTAAGTACTCTTTAAAATACCAGAATTGGGAGGATGGTGTAGGTTTAAGTTTATTAGATTTATCAGTATTGCTGAACTATGAAATTATTATTTTTTTTGCATACAGGTATAACAGAATAGCTTTAGTGTAGTTGTTGTTTTAAACTTGAGTATGAACTTATACAAAATGCAGCAAGATATTTAAAAAAACAGTTTTGTTGATTAAAAAACACTATATCGGATTCATATCGGTATCGGCAGATATCCAAATTTATGGTATCGGACATAAAAAAGTGTTATCGTGCCATCTCTAATAAATACAACAAAATAAAACTAGTACCGGTACCGAAAAAAATAATTTATTCATAACACGTGAGAAGACCAAGGAAAACAGAGTAAATGATAACAAAATAACGCTGAAAACCGATAAAAACCCTGAAAACTATACATTTCACACCTGAGCCTCAACTCTCGCGGCCTGGTACCAAACGACTCACGGACCGGTACCGGTCCGAGGCCCGGGGGTTGGGGACCGCTGATGTAACTGATGCGGTCTCTCTTCATTTCCTGTAAGGTGTGAAATTACTTTGGTTCTTTTTAAAAATTCTCTCCCCTTATGCAGATTCTCCAGTTTGATGACATCCTGTGTAATCCAAGTTACAGGGATCATTTCAGAGTTTACATGGAGAGAGTAGATAAGAGAGCTCTGATAAGCTTCTGGGAACTGGTGGAAACACTGAAAACTGCCAACAAGGTAACGGCTGCACACATTCAAGAGCTCAAGAGGTGTGACGAGGCGATGGCATTCATACTGAGATGTACACAAAAGTAGAAAATGGGAGTGCTTGATGTAATTTTATTAAACAGTCTTGTATAAAGAAACGTAGCATAAAGCTTTTTGTGAGTCCAGTGCACAAAATCAGACTTGAAAATAACTGCACATAGTGTCAGCAAATGTCTTTTGCTTTAATGTCTTTAAACTTGGAATCTGCTGGTGTGGCTGTAACTGACAGTTAAAAGAAACTTTATTCATTTTATTAAAAGCTTTGGTGCAGCTTGTTAGTTCATCTACCGTCTGAAGCAAACTATTTTCACTCACCTCCTTTAAAGCCACTGATGTGACCAAATTTAGGATGTCCACTTGCATTCGCACCACAAAGACTTCAGGGTAGAAATAAGAAAAACAGAAACTTGAGATTTTTGCTCACAGAGATTACATTAATTCAGTTTTATTTAAATAGTGTCAAATCACATTTGCCTGTTGAGAAAACCCCAACGATCATATGACCCCCTATGAGCAAGCAGTTGGCGATAGTAGGAAGGAAAAACTCCCTTTTAACAGGAAGAAATCAGGTAGAATCAGACTCTGGTATGGGCAGCCATCTGCCTTGACCGTTTGAGGGTGAAGGGAGGAAGACGGGACGTTAGTTAGTGTTGGTGATCCAGAGACTAATACTAACTAATGATAAATGTAGAGCTCTGTATAAACACAGTGAGTGGGGGGGAAGAAAGGTGAGTGAAGAAGTAAGATAATTTTATTCAGATTATTTGTTATTCAAAACTTTGGTCATGAGCATCAGCCATTGTAACAGTTTGTGAATGTGAAAATATATATGTGTATGTATGTATGTATGTATGTATAAAAAAGGGAAGCAAAAAATGTTCAAAACGGTGAGAAAAGTATGTGAGAAAATAATTTTTGTTTGACAGAATGAGGTGCCCCAAATTGTTGGGGAAATTTACCAGAAGTTCTTTGTGGAGAGCAGAGACATTCCAGTGGAGAAGTTTCTTCTGAAAGAGATCCAGCAGAGTTTGGTGGGGAACAGAGGAACACAAGTCTTTGTTAAACTACAAGAACAGGTATGTGCTGCTCTGCTTAGCCAGCTGCAGCTACCTGTAGCTACAGCAGCTGACGGTGGATTTCTTGAAAATCTCAAAAGAAAGCTGTTGAACTTCGATCATTAAAAGCGTGTGTAACAGTGGAAACTGACACATCCCTTAGGTTGCTGAGACAATGAGAGAGCGTTACTACCCCTCCTTCCTGGTGTCCGACCTCTACGATAGGCTGATCAGACGAGACGACCATCACAGCCAATCGCGGTGTAGTCCAGAGGAAAAGGGAGAAGGGGTGAGACATTCATACGCAAACGACACACATGCATACAATACTAAATGAATGTGTTTAACACTTGTTTTTGTTTATATCCTCTGTGAAGTGCCAGGGTCTAGATACAGGAGAGGTGTGTGACGAGGGCAGTAAAGGAATCAATGAGCAGGCGAGCTATGCTGCTACTAAACTACACCAGCTCTATGACAAACTGGAGTACAAGCGACAAGCCCTGGGCTCAATCCAGAACGCACCCAAACCAGACAAGAAGGTAACAAAATATAGGTCAATGTGCTAAATACAGTCTGTTGGATCACTTCAGTATTGAGTATCAGGATGTTTGATTGGGTTAAACTCCCATTTATCTGACGTGGTCCCTGCTAGAGTATGTGACAACTTTAAAGTAGAGCTTTGAAAACACCTCTGAATGCAAAGACTTTTATTTATTGTGGTTCAGCATAATGTCATTTTACTGCAACTTGTGTGCTTATCTGCCTCTGGTGTGTGCTTTGCAGATAGTAAGCAAACTAAAAGAAGAAATAGGAGCCATGGAAAAAGAACACAGCGAACTTCAGCAACACATCACAAGGACTGACTGGTGGTGTGAAAACCTGGGGAATTGGAGGGCTACGATAACTACAGCTGAGGTAAAAGGAAACAACAAACCTGAGTGTAGAAACGAATGATGCACTCACCTAAACAGTTTACAGCAGTCTGCAAGCATGCCCTTCATCCTTTATGCTCTTGCACAGAAGAAACAAATGAGCCACACAGCACAGATAATTTAATACTCTGCATACTTTATGCTTAAGTATAGAAGATAGATTGGACAACACATACATTTGTATAGATCAAGCACATTTCTGTACTTTATCTATACAGGACTAGATTCACTAAACTTCATGCAGCAATCACAGAAATGGCCCAGTGGGAGTGGAAAGTTCTGTGGTTGATCTACTAACAGTGCACATTAAATTCATAGAAGAACAGAAATCATCATTTAGAGTCAGATCGTGTATGTGTGTGAAAATATTACTGTTACTTTGATGTGTGTAGAAGCATATATTTTTCTTTCTTTCTTTAGTTTTTCACCAGGCTGCATGTTTTTAATGAAAAGTTAGTGTTAAACATTGTAACATTGGATGTTAATCAAAGACACTGCAGGTTTGCCTGAGTGTCTCATCCTTCAAAACTCTTAAACATAACATGCACTAAGGCCAGCCCTAACACTGTCCTATGTTAATGAATATTGACAGTATCTCTATAATGCTAAACGATTGTTTTTCCAGCCGACATTAAATCTGACCCTAGTCATTCACATTTCATTCATTTTGTTCTTTCGTGTACTTGCGTGTGTAAATCCTTTGTAAATTTATACTAAATTATAAAAATATATTGTGACAATGAAGGACCCGACAACAGCAGCGTTGCAGTTCAACACATCCTTTATTGACGGACTTCCCAACATGCGCAGCTTTCTGGCTGCCCTGCTCCTGTAGCATACAACACCGCCCTCTCCTCCGGTCCTGGCAACATCTTTAACAGGGGAGACATGATTAGATGATCAGGGTCAGGTGTGTCAGCCTCCCCTGACACTCTGAACTCCACTGCTCCACCCTTCCCCTGCAGCTGAGCCACACCCCACCACATATATGTTAATGTGCCTGAATAAAGAATATCCAGGTTGTGTCAAAAAGAATCCTCTGATTTCAAAGAGCTTAATTTCAAGGCCACTCACCGATAACGACTTAATTGCGCATTGTTAAAAAGAGTGGCTCTGTGAGCAGCATAACGACAGCAGTGGCTGCATTGACTCAAAAGTATGGGACAGATTTGACTGTGGTATGGACTAAAGCTGTGTGGCTGGAGGGGGACACATTGAGCACTTGGGAATATTGTTTTTATATTCTTTTTTTCTTTTTTAAAGTATATTCTTTACTTTAAAAAAGTGTCACCTTTTGATATCAGATTCTTTTTGATACGCCCTGTATGGATACTACATCTGTCCATTTTGGGGTTGTGGGTTTTTTTTTTATTTATTTTTTAATTTTTAAATTTTTAATTCTTTTTGGGGGGGAAATTCCCAGGTAATCTCTCTCCAGAGTAAAGAGGTGGTGGTTTATTGTGTATGTTTGTGTGTATTTCAGGCTGCAGAGGAAGGTGGTGAGACTGTAGCTTGTTACAGTGTGTGTGTTAGCCTGGTGGAAGGAGAAGAAACGGCCAACAGTCGCTGGAGCGTCCAGAGGAAACTCACTGAATTCCAAATGTTGCACCGCAAACTCACAGAGGTAACAAGGCACCAATCCTGCACACATGGATCAACATTTGCTGCCTTGTTGTTTAAATGCTTAATGTCCCCTGCACAATAAACCAGTAAGGTCATCAGCTCACTGTGTAGCACTGAAATTGAAAGACTCGCAACAAAAAAAATAATGTGATGATGGATTTACTGCAGCCTATGTGCCACAGAAAGCAGAGACTGCTGTTTGTTAGAAGCATTTCCAGTCCTCTGTGTGACTATCTGTGGTCACTGTACAGTGATAAATTGGTTTAGATGAAATCTAATATCTGTGACATCTGGAGAGCTGCATGCTTTTAGTCAGTCTGCTCTATTGACTAATTTATGGTTGTTAATGCATTTCTGAATCTAACAAGAGTAAACAGAGTAGCTGTTTAAATCAAAAATACACATATTTTGCCTCCTGTTAGTGTAAAATCATCACCTGTTAATGTGTCTCTCCTTCAGTGTTTTCCATCACTGAAGAAACTCCAGTTACCATCACTCAGTAAACTTCCCTTCAAATCTATTGACCAGAAGTTTTTGGACAAAAGCAAAACACAACTCAACACTTTTCTCCAGGTAAACAAGCAGCTGCTGCATCTATATTTTATATCTCTATCACCTGCTGTGATACAATTACAAATGCTTCACTTTATCTCTACATTGTTAATTATAACACACAAAAACCAGGGTGCTGAATCACAACCTATTTCGGTCTATGAAATGTGTGAGCTCTTTTAATTAAATATTACACTGTAACGAGGTCTGTAACCTTACAAAGTCTGTGCTCACAAAAGCTAATTCTGCTTATGATCACAGCTGTTGATGATAACCTCAGGTGTGTGTGTGTGTGTCGTGTGTTAGCGTCTCCTAACAGATGAGCGGTTGTGCCAGTCAGAGGCTCTCTATGCTTTCCTCAGCCCGTCTCCAGAACATCTGAAGGTAAGCCATTTCTCATATTTCAATTTTAAAAAGAACAGGGAATAATATGCTTATTTCCATAAGTGTTTGCACATTTCTTTTTTTTTAAATTTATTGCCTGTACATAACAACAATGGATTTGAAATAAAGTTAACTCAATGGGATTAACTGACATATTAGATCAGCTCTGTAGGAGTTAGTTTCCCTATTTTTTTTTTTTACAGATTCATCAGTGATTGTACATATAATAATTATTTTCTTAATTCTTCACGTTTAATGACTACCAGAGGTTTGCAGCCCATAGACCTCATGCGATGCTGGATTTTCCTGTCTGAGGCTATAAATTTCAATTTTTTTTTTTCATAAAATAATGAAGAAACAGGCCCCACCCAGGTGTGAAATTGTTGTCTTGCAATTGTATATTTTATTTAGCGTCTATTAAATGGAAGTGCAGTGACAAAATGCTGTAATTCATGAATGTTACAGCAGTTTTTGTTATCATTCTTTTTTACCTTAAAGTCCTCACCTTATTCCAAATCCACTGTGTGGGTGTACAGTGTGAAATGACCAAAATTGTATCACATATTTCCTTTCTTTTCAAAGCCACCACTTTGTCCTAGAGCTGGGCGATAGAACGATAACGATATGTATTGCGAAATAACTTTTCCTCGATAGAAAAGTTAAACCTACCCTGTTGAACTTATTATGGGAAATAAATATTTAAATAAAAACAAGCTGCTGATTATTTCACATTTTACTTGTGAGCAATATAGTTATTTGGCTTATATCGTGATAGATATCGTTATTGCCTGAAATGAAAAAAAAAACATATCGTGATATGAAAAAATCTTATATCGCCCAGCTCTACTTTGTCCTGTTTTAATGCTTTTAAAAGTTAAATAACCATTTAACTTCATTAAAACTCAATCTATTTTAAACCCCAAACCAGAAGAAGCATTAGTTTCCTGTATTAGTTAATCAGCTAAAGTTCTCTGACATGAGTTGTGTTTGTTACTTTAATCTGAAATTTTGACCCTGTGAATTTAATGAGCGATTAGATATGGGCCATTAAATACAAGGTTATTGCTCTAATTACCAGCAGCTTATTGGCGCTCTTTTACGCACATTTATGGCTTTGTGCAGTGTTCGAGCAGCAACACTGGCAGAGCCGCTTCATAAGAGGGTCACTACTCATTTGACACTGGCACCATTAATGAGGAGATGCTGATTACAGGGCCGTGTTTGTGGATTCACAGGGATCCTTTCATGTTTCAGACCTTCCTGATGGTTGTGTTATCTGGATGATTTTGTCCATTGTATGCAGACCATTTTATAGTAATGATATCTTGTATAACATTTGAAGGTGATGTCTATTCAGAAGAAATCCTCTTTCTCACTGGCCTCCTTCCTAGAGAGGTTACCTGGAGATTTTTTCTCCCATACTGAGGTACACACTCATGCACGACGAGTAAAGCAGCATTCCCATGCTGTCCTGCATCCTCATTTGCATGATGTGCGCTGTACGTTTTCTTCATAGGAGGATGGCGATGACGACAGTGACTTGTCAGACTACGATGAAACAGACGGGCGGAAAGATGCTCTGGCTGAACCCTGCTTCATGCTCATAGGAGAGATCTTTGAACTCAGAGGAAGTGAGCAGGACACTGTTTTGATGTTACACACGCTCGTGTTGGTGAATTCTAACTGCCTCAGTCTGTTTATCTGAATACATTCCCTCTCCGTCTGTCTTCCTGCTCAGTGTTTAAGTGGGTGAGGAAGACTTTAATTGCACTAGTCCAGGTGACATTTGGACGAACTATCAACAAGTAAGTACTAACAAGTACTCTTTTAGTCAGTGGTCTGGCAGTATTGTTGATCCAGAATAAAATATCTCATCTGTCGAGTCCAGATCCAGAGGCTTTGTTAACTTATGCAAGGTAGAGAGTGTAACACCTATTGTACATTTTCCTGAGATGAAAGTTTTCAGGCCTCTGTTATGTATTTCAGACAGATCCGGGACACTGTAAACTGGATCTTCTGTGAACAGATGTTGGTGTGCTACATCAGTGTGTTCAGGGACACCTTCTGGCCTGATGGCAAGCTGGCGCCACATATCAAAGCTCGAACGGATTATGAACGCACTGAGACCAAGGAGCGTGCTCAGCAGAAACTACTTGACAACATCCCAGGTAGCAACACACACACAGGCGTGACTTATTATTTCATTTATTATGATTGCACATGTTTGCAGTGTAAAAGAAATAAAGAATAAAGTGCTTGATTCAGCATGCTTTTCCTTGTCCACCAGATGCACTCACAAATCTAGTTGGCCAGCAGAATGCCCGCTACGGCATCATCAAGATCTTCAGTGCTCTGCAGGAGGCCAATGCCAATAAGCACCTTCTCTATGTAAGCGTGACACACATTTCCAACATCAGCGTTTCATTAAAACAAGATTTCTTAGCCATTTATTTTTTCCCTGTCTCCCTGTGTTTGTTAGGTATTGATGGAAATGTTACTAAAGGAGCTGTGTCCTGAGCTCAGGGCTGAGGTGGACAGTATGTGAACACATGCATGAGAATGAGGATCGGCTCGTTCGTCTTTCAGGCCTTTCTGTAGCTGACCAATCACAAACTGCCAAGCCAGACAGGGAGAGGGCCATTGGGTGAATCCTCAGACAGAAAGCAAGCTGCGTTGGTCAGAGTTGAGATGCACGAAGACTCTGGTCAAAGAAATTTGCTGTGAACCGGTGAAAAGCTGGCCTGACACTCTCCTGACAAAGCTGCTGACAGAAGGGTGCATCTCTAAACCTGCGTTTGGACAGGGAGAAACCACAGGGACTTCTTCCTATCTAGACTGCAGTCTGATGAGACTGATCACAGAAGAACAAAGTGTATTTTTGACTTAAGTAACTCACATCTGTGTTTTTCTTTTAAAAATAATTATAATTCTTTCACTAGCACTGACATTCAGCATCTGTGCCAGAACAGACTGAAATGAAATGTTTCGCTGAAATGTAAATGATGGTGATTTGGTCGACAACTTCTTTGTACATCTTTAATTTTTAGAGTAGATAATCGACTGACTTGACTAAAGACAAAAAAAAGACAGTCAGACTCGCTGTTGCCCTCTAGAGGCGACCGCTGTGAGTCCCAGCCCACATACCTCTGAACATTCCTTCTACACACAACCTGAGCAACACTTGTTCTGTGATTCTTGTAATAAGGCTTATAATTGTGCAATATAATGTAATGTAAAAGTCATTGTGATGATTTTATTTATGATTTATTATTGATAGATTTTATTTTTACCAAAAATTGTTTAGAGAGCATTTATATAAGCAATAAATTGCAAACAAAAAGCTGTGAGTTTTGCATTTCTTTGGGTGGGAAAAAAAAAGTGTGTGTATATGTACGTATGTATGGGGGGGAAAAAAGCACAATGACGTAGTCGCTTGTTTAGAAAGAGCTTAGAGGTCACAGCAGAGATATGTAAGTATTGCGCTGCATTTAGTAATGCCAACATATTAAGAGAACAATATTTGTCTCTCATATATAATACACTGTCAAAGATACTTGACTTTGAGTGAAGATTTAAGGTGATAGGAAATATAAATAACTGCAACAGCAGTGAATTCAAGTTCACTGGTGTAATAATGGTGTAATAACTAATAATGGTTAATATAATAATAACTTTAATATTGGCCATATTATATTTACATTACCAAAGTAAGATGACTTTAGTCTCATGAACAACATTAGCTAATTGTTATTTACTAGCTAATCTTAAAATGACTGCTCAGTACAGAAATGAAGCCCAATAATCACGTTTTTACAGTCCCGTGGTCTCAGCCTCAGATACTTATCAAATCAAAGCTCATGTACAAACAAACAAACAAATGAACAAAATATTTTTTTCATTTCTGTCAAAAAGTGCTGTACGAAACGTTTCCAGCGGTTAGTATCATAGTTGCCAGGCAACCTGGGCAGCGAGACGGAGGCTAGACCGTCCCATTTCACAAGCCTCGCACTTCCGGCCTTAGCGGTCTTTGAGTACGCGGCCCTTGTGGACCTTTAAGGCTGCAGACCCTGAATTGGGATAGAGCCATAGTGTCGATATGCTAGAGAACATGAGATTGAAAAGCCTGTGATATGTGAACGATTGTGTAACTAGCTTATAATGGAGATACAGAGAAAACTTGATTTGATGAATTCCCATATAAAAAACATATGTTCCTATTAACACGGACACATCAACATAGTTTCAAATTTGAATGGTTTCTGATAGCTGACACATCACAAAGTATTCCTACACAGTATTTTATTTCGACACCTGCGACCGGAAGTACTGCTATTTGTTTGCGATATACAATCGCTCAAGACCGCCATCCTTTTCAAGCTAACGAACGCTGCCTCGCAATCATACACCACCTAATGGTAGGTTTGACTTAATTCTAATAACAACAGTACAGAGTTCCAGTAGAAAGTTAACGCTAGCAGCTCGAAGCCAAGTGCTCATTAGCTAAGATTAGCTTTCATGTGCTTTTGTGGTGTTTTTGCTAACTTTATTTTGCTTTCCATTAGTCAAAGCTAATAAGCAAGCGAACCTTAGCAATTTAAGTCGGTTTAAACGAACTAAACGCGTTCTGGGCGTTACAGTTACGAGCACTTTCCATGCTACATACTAATTGCATTATTATATTGCTAATTGCTAAGCTAATACAGTTAAGCGGGTTAATGCTATCTGTGCCTGGAACTTGACGCCGGTTGCCTGACAACAGTAAATTAAAGTGATAGAACCGACTTGCAAGCGAAGCGGTGTGTGCTGCAGTTCATATCAGTGACGACCGTGACGCACTGAACCCTGTATAACATGCATTTTTATCATTTGTTCTCGCTGCAGTGAGCTCTCTGTAAGCTCACTGTAAGTTGTTGTTTCCAGCTCGGTTGTGTAACCTCGCCGGATGGAGATGGACGACGAGCTGGAGAACTTCATCATGGAACGCAAGGCGAGGGTGGCAGAGGATAAAGCCTGTTTAGAACAAGTGGGTGGGTTAGAAATAGATAATTTTCAAGGCAGACCTTTTGATAAACATCTGAAAAACAACACCGTTTTAGACCAAATAAGAAGTTTATTGAAGTTAAACTTTAGCCGCCCTCTTTGCCGTTATATGCTGTAACTAAGAAGTAATGTGGATCTTCTTTTCCTTCTGACTGACAGGCAAAACCCTACCGAGGCTACGGGTCTACTGCTAAGGAGAACATCCCTCCTAAGTCAAAAGCACAGGGAAGAGATATAGATCCTGGCCACAATTTGTCACGTCAGTTCATACTTTAAGTTAAATATTATTTAAGTATTTCACTTGTCACTTGAGATTTGTTTTGCATAACACTGTTTACCTTCTGTCTCTATGAAATGTTGATGTGTTTTCAGAGGAGAGCTGCAGTGTGGGTCTCCCCCTTGGTGTGGAGTACGAGAGGAAGAAACAGAGGCTGCAGCACGAGCTTCGTATGGACTACAGGCGCTACATGACTCGGGTGACTGTCACACACTGCCCTGTTTATGTGTGTGTGTGACACTGTAGCGAGTTTGAGTTTTCAATCTATATGTGTCAGATCCTTATTCTAAACTTATACTTTTATGCTGCAAGTTAGCTATCACTTGTCTCAGGTTTACAAAAAAATTACATATCTTTTTCATTTTCTGAGAATTCTTCAGGTATCAAACTGCTTCCATTCTATAAATTGTTGGGGTTTAGTAGACCCAAACATCACAGTTTGCCACAATTCATCCAGCACTATCATCACAGCCTAAAGAGAGCTGCTAGCATCTTTGAGGCTGAGTTAGACTTCTGTGGGGAATCTTTGTAGATATTACTGATGTAAGTGGCTGAAATTGTTGCTGGCATTTATGCTTGTGTGTGCTGCATTATGGGTTAAGTACATTGTGATTGTGTTTTATACATGATGCCAGCCGATAGCTACAAATAAAATGCTGGGACTTTCCCCCCACCTGGGTCCCAACTCGTTGTCATTTTCCTTTTTTTTCGAGTTTGTCCACTTCTTTGTACATCTCCTCACATCCATTCCTATATCAGTCCCCTCTAGCAATTTGCTAACATTTGTGAGGCCTTAGATTTGTGAGGCCTTAGATTGATGCTGGACGTGTAGTTACATTTCCAAGGAGGTGCACTTTAGTTACAATGTAGGGTTTCAGTTGGTTTTGCGGTTACAACGTAGCAATATCATGAATTTCCCGCTTAAGTATAAATCTCCAGTAAGGAGGCAAATTTCACCAACTGACTGCCTGACCAGGTCACACCTTTAGATGTGTGTGACTGTGCTGAGTGGGGGTTTTCTCTCCATCGTGGAAAGGTTTGCTGGGTATAGGATTTAGAATAAAATGGAGCATTGTTTCTTTGCAGTTTATTGGTGAGAAACTGTTCAATAAACTACATTTTTTTAGACATAGTTCTGAGAGAGATTGCAGACAGATTTCCGTGGCGGTGGCTCGGGAGGTAGGACAGATCCTCTAATCGGACGGTTGGTGATTCGATGTCTTCCTTTTGGCAAAATACTGAATTCCACTGAACCCCCAAAGTGTGAATGTGATGTTAGATAGAAAGCACTTGGACACATTGGGTGAATGAGGCATGTTGTATAAAGCGCTCGTCATGCTGTGTCACAAATATGACAAAGCTGTGTGGCAATTGAAAGACAGTCAGGAATAAGAAACGTAGAAACCCAACTGAACATGTGCTCGGCCTGTTTATGTTGCTAATCCTGTGTTAATAAAGTAAAAAATAAGACAAAGGTTTCAGTTGTTCTCCATGTAACACAGTGACATACATGAAATATTACACACTCTACTGTAAACATCAGCGTTGTTGCGTACCTATCTGTACACCTGAGGTCGCAGCTCTAGCATTAAAGCCAGTTTTTAGATTCTAGCTACAGTCTGCTCATTAGGTTTACACCACCTGTTTCATCTCTGCTTTTATTTTATGTTACAGAAAAACCAGTTTGAACGTGTTGAGACTGCAGGACCATTACTCCAGCTCAATAACAGGAGGCCTGTCAAGGTAAATGCCTTAATGTCTTTTATGATTTTAATATATTTAAAGATTAGATGCTTGGCCGAACAGAATGGCTGCTAAAGTGGATGGTAGATGACAACAGTCCTGCTGAAAAGAATTTTCTCATTTGTTCATTTGGAATAAAACACTTTTATTTACCAAAACACTATAAACACAAAACACTATAAACACAAAAGACTATAAACACAGTTAAGATGCACTGTGAAAGAGCCCACATATGTTTTCATCAGTGATTCTCAATCCGGGCGACTCTTAGTGGAGCGGTTACTTGTGATGTTACCAGATGTTACATAAGCCATTGTCCTGCATGAATCAACATGTGATTGTTGGGAGGATCATGTTGTGGCAGTGCTGAAGCTGTCCTTTTTTACATGCAGGATGCAGCAGTAGAATGTCTGCTTGCTGGCACTATCTGTCGCTGGTACAGTCACACCTCAAACAGACATTTTCCTTCCTACGTAAAACTCTGTTGGCTCAGAGCT